TGCGTCGGTAATACATGTTTGTGCGTAGTGAGCTTAGCTAGTGTTAAATAAAATTCACACTTTTTAAGTGAACTTTGTGATTTGAAACTCGATGAAAAGAAAAAGCGACACTAAAGAGAGACAAACATATACACATCTAGGATTTAGCCTGCGATAGAATGAGATAGAATACACTAAATAAAATTAAAAACATTGGACTATTATATTGGAAACTATCATACCCAATCCATTCATAAAAATCCACGATTTCATAACTTAACAATTTATATCGGTAAGTGGACACAATATTTAATTATATGTAAATGTAATTATTGTTAGATAAAATGACTTTACCTACACTGCCGTCTTATTGAAAAAAGGCACAACTAAAATTTTATAAATATGGAGAAAATCGAGTTTAAAAATTCATAGTGGTTTTTGGTAAAAAATATCGACTATAATATTATTTTTCGAAAATGAATGCATTCAAATAAATTCATTTTCACGATTCCTATACGATTATTGAAAAATAAGTTTTTTATTTTATTGGCATTTATTAAATAATCAACATTTTCTCTTTCAACGTAGCATAAAAAAAGTATTAAAATTATTAATATTACGAATAAAGGGCATAACTAACCAAATGTGATTTTCATTCTGACATTTTAAATCTGACATTGTAAAAATATGAAATAATACAATGAAAGGGCACATTTATTAAAAAGTGCCTTTTCCTTATAATAATACAAAAAAAAAAACAGGTGAAAAATAGGGAGAATATTTATAAAACTTTTATTTGAAAAAGGTTACAAAAATAATCGTCTCTAAAATTAAAAAAATTAATTCACTGTAACTTAACAAATTAACATTAATTAACTGTAATTATCAGTCATTAAGGAACTTATTTGTTTATTATATAAAAATCACAGTATGGATTTTTGATCGGCTTCTAATTTAAGAAAATAAGCTTTATAATAACGTTTGTTAAATATGGCACTTAACTTTTAAGGTTACCATAATTACAACAATTCCGGCCATGTCCCAATTACATGTCATGTATAATCAACATTTCTCAAAAATAGAATAAACAAAAACTATTTCACAAGTTAAAAAAAACTACCTATAAAGTTAACACAATCCTCGAGGCACTTATAATTGGAACTTTGGTCAAAATGAGTAAACTTAAAAAATAATCAGTCTTCATGAATTTGAGTTAGATCATCTGAGCTATCATTTACGGGTAAGGTTTTCCAAAAACTCCTTCTATTATTAGGCAAAAATGGACCAAGTTTAGTGAGTAGCGGATTTTTTTTTCAGTCGTAACACCTCTCGGAGCAAGTTTTTGGTATGGTGCTGAAATACCTTCTTTGAGATTTTTAACTTAAGGAAATCTGATTCGTAGTACTCATAATCTGATTCATAGTGCCATGGCTATTTTTGTAAAATAATAAATTGAATCCCCTGCAAAAATTAGCCTCGGCAATTTTTTTTTTGTTATTAAACGTTACCTCCACTCTAGGATTTTCTCTTATATCGTGGGGGCAGTTTACAAACATAAATTTCAAAAGGACAAACATATACGTAACAATTACTTGTAGACTATACAAATACTTGTTCCGTGCGGGATTCGAACCCGCGGCCCTTAGCGCTGTAACTCATTGCTAAGCCATTGCGCCACAGAGCCGTCAAATTTCATTCATGTAAGCTCGAAGGCTAGAAATTTTCAACTGAAATATCGAAGAGCATTCTTCAAAGTCAAAAACATCTTGAATAATCATCTTCTTTATTATTGTGTGAGCCAGTATCTGATACAGCTTTGCAAAAATCCTTAAAGTCATAAAAACGTTTCTTGTTTTTAGAGATCGTTCCACTCTGTGGTGGAATTCATCAGCAGCCATGAATGAATGACCAACTCCCAAATAGCGTAAAGTAATGCTTTCAAAACTAACTTCGACAGAGTTTACGAAATATGTCAAATAAAAATAAAGTGTCACAAAATTACGTGCTTTAGGTCTTGGTTTTCTATAAAAAACCCTGAAGCAACTTACAATGTCCTCTTTTTTCTGCCAGTCGTTCCTTCGTGCCACAAAACGGCTAAAGTGTGACCAACTTCGTGTATTTTTTGTCTCCTATCGGTACAAAACTCTGGTTGAAAACAATAAGCCGCGGAGAGAACATCACTGTTTTGAACTCTTCCATACGGGGTAACATAATAATTTTTTCCAAGTCTACGGCAAAAATAAGAGTGTCGGCATTAGTCTTTTTCTGAGTCTGGTTATCAGCATCTTCTTCGTACTTCTTGCGAGCTAAAATATACTTTTCGTGATGTTTTTCGTAACCTTTACATGTTTTACAACCTAATTTCAGAGTTAGGGTTATGAATTGTGAATGTTTTGCATCGCTCACACTCCTAGTAGCCTAACTTGCCAAATGAGATATTAAGTTCTTTTACAATTGTTCTGTACAAACCGCACGATACTTTCGTTTTCAGGCGCATTTTTACAGTAATGGTCATACATGATTCGAATACTGAGATCAGAAGGCAAATACTTTTTATTAGGGGCATGTTCACGCCTGTGATGGGATACAGCAAGGCGGAATGAGCTGTTTTTTCTCTTGTTTTGGTAATTCGTAAGTTTTATCCAATACTGAATCATCAGAATCAAAATCTGACCCTATATCTAACACAGTGCGGCACCACTACATTCTCCGAGCTGGATGGTTGCATCGAGTTTTGAACGCCACTACTTGTTGTCGGCGCGGGAGACCAGCACTAATTTTGCGCTTCGTGATTGAATATTGCTGAAAAAAGAGTAAAGTTTATTTTGTAGTATTGTTTTTGATGAAAATTAACGGGAGGTAGTATAAAACCCGTAAAAGTAAACTGACTGATTAATATGCACGGGCAGCTATGAGACGTTTTATGAACACAGGCAACGTTTTTTTTCGATTTCATGTCAGTGAAGTCACGGGCAGAAACCAGTTAACAAATTATTGAGCGTTTCGAATTCTAAATTGGTAACGATACAGTATACCTATTAAAAATGGCATATTTGTAAACTAAATCGCAAGTAATCATTCAAAAATTTCGTCAATAAATTCTAGTAAATTCATATCAACGTATCATAAAAGAAATTATAGTAAAGGCATGCAAATAAGTAACTAAAACTTACCAGCGCAGCACAGATAAGCATGGACTCACCTAGACACGTCAGGCATAACTGTCGGGATTCGCCAAATGTACCTTGACCACTTCACTTCACCTCTAGTCAAATATTTTTAATGGTAGTAAAGGCATAACTGGTAGTTGTGACTTTTTTTTTTTAATTAAATGTCAATGTCTAGTATTGGTAAGCTTTAAATCCAAGAGCACATCTACCACATAACCTTTTAATATTTAACGCATGCCAATTATGCCTTTTCTAGTAAATAAATTATATTTATTCTGATACAAATAAAAGTCGCATCTATGCATATGTGATCTTTTGACGTACTGTACGTCAGATGTGCTCTTTTTACGAACAACAACTTAAAACGTGGCTCAGTTGTGCCTTTTGAGCTTACGGTATCTCTGTTTATCTTGTTGCTAAAATTGTAAAAAAATATTGGCAGATAGGCCTTTTTTCTGATTCCGAGTATGTATATAACTCAATTTCGGAAAAAATGTTACTTGTGCCTTTTTTTGCTTTGACGGCAGTACAGAACGTAGTAGATGGCGCTATTACATAGCAATTCTACTCGCAATTGTCTAAAGGTTACACTTCTCCCGCTTGTGAACTGCATAAATGTTTTTTTAAGCAATGTTTTATGATAACCTATATTCTAAGAATTGTTTATAGTGTAAATACCGTAGTTGTTTTAGTGATTAATCCAGTAAATGATTCATGATATCGTGTATAATCTTTTCGATTCTTACTATATTGTGAGTCAAATTATAAATTAATTTTACTAATAAAATATATTCATATTCATATTCATTTATTTGCCAGAATGTATGTGTACAATAAAGTATGATCTTAAATTATGAATAATGGCCCATTTACATTCTACCATTTTATATGGTGTGCAAATATTTAATTAGTATACATGCAAAAAAAAAATTACAAGTGGGAATTCAATTAAAATGTCACATTGTTTAATATAAGAGTCTTTTGTTGTTTCTTTTTCAGAAGTTGTTTTTTGGCTTTCTAATCTGGTAGTAAAATATAATGAATATAATTTACAATATCCCGGAACTGTTACCTATTATCTAAATCTTTATTGCGGTATTAAGGAAATCAGTGGCTTAAAAATTTTGTGTTTTGATGCCGCCTTTTATTAAAACCGCACCTATCACATTGATCGGCATAATACACTCAACCATCGACTGTAACACAGGTGAGCAAATTTTTTTTTAAATATTGCAAGAAAGTGTAGTGTATGTGACAGAACGATACAACAGAACAAAAACAAACAATTTATTAAAAAAGGCCAATTATCCATTGCCACGGATAATTAGTTTTGTTACAAGTAATGATAATGGAAAGTAGTGTTTAGTTGCGAAGCGTATGTTGTTATTAGGTATACTTATCTATCGTCAATCGTTTGATTTTCATTTGATTGTGTATACTTAAGCTCATGCGCGAGTATACTAATCGTTTTTTCTCTTTTCTATTCATTACATCCTGTTGTTACAATAATTGTTTTATAGACAAATGAGCCACTCCCGAGTTCCCGAGCTACAGATTTACCTCTTACTGTTGAACTATTATTAACCTGTGGAACTTGTATAAATGGAAGGACGCGCCTGCTGGGCACGTGCATTGTATCTGCGCCAGAAGTACAAAAAACGACATAACCAAAGAACCCTTGACGCTGTTATACACGTAAAAAAATCGTTGTGGCATTTTTCATAGTCTCTCCACCCCCGTAACAAAATGAGGTGATGAATTGTCTTGCACCGCTACCATACGGCAAAATAATTAATGTTAATACAAGTTACAATATTGTTTTTGATTTTAGGTTATAATAACGTAAAGAGAATGAAACTCTTTCTTGTCGGATTATTCGTGGCGTTAGCCTCTACCTCACCGCTGCCTTTAGATGAAGAAAATGGAGAACCTGTAGAACTGATTGTAAATGGCGTTCCTGAAGGGGAACCATTAGAAATCGGAGATATTGTTGACATCAAACTAAAGAACCACGTTGATGGACAACTAGCTTCGGTCTCAGATCTTCTGTATCCATTAACGGCTCAAGGTCTTGCTGAAACTGCTGCTGCTGCTGCTGCTGAAGAAAACATCCCAGTTCTTCCAGAACCAGTGCCCGAAGTGGTGCCTATGCCAGTGCTGTTACCTGAACCAGTTTTGCCTGAAGTAGTGGCCCCTGAGCCTGTAGTATTGCCTGAGCCTGTATTGCCTGAGGCGACACTGCCTGAACCAGTATTACCTGAGTACGTTCCACAGCCCGCTGTTTCTGAAGTGGAAAATAACCCCGAAATAATAGAAGAGACTGCACCAGAGATTCCTAACGGGGAAATTTTTAATGATGGTAACGTTCAAGTATCGGTCAATGTTCCTGATGAAACCGGAGTCTTCACAACAATTCAGACCTGGTTACAACTATTCTTGAATTACTTCAATAACGGCGTTCAAACCACCCAACAAATAATTTAAATTCATATTCAAATGTACTCGTATGTACCCGGTTTTAATTTCCTATAAAGAAAATTTTATATTTCGTTTAATATTGTTTTATTTATAACAATGACACTAACACAACTCTGACGGAAGTAGTGTAAGTGGAAAATAAAAGCGCTTTTTTATAAAATGATTAACGAACTAAAACTAAAAACTGAATCTAATATTTGATATCTGCAATTTGATTTTCTACAACGTGCTCAAATTCTGGTAAATATTTACATACACTACTCACACACGGCTATTAAAGTCGTGGTAAACCCACAATAAGGATACTATAATCCACACTACGTAGTACTATTATTTATTCTGTGTCCATACACAATAGAAGGGGGGAGTGGGCTGTGCTCGTGTCAACACATCTCTTTTGACGTCACAGTCGTTGCCTAATTTTTGCGTCAAGCGTTGCTGGGTGCAATTTATTTAAAAAACGCCGATTTATGCGACAATTATTTGTCAGAAAAACAGCCGGATGTGGAATTTGAATAAAAATGGTATATCCTTTCACCAGTAAGTCTAAACTATTTATATTTTGTGAGTATTATAATCAAAAATAAAGAAATATCGATGTGTAAAAACAGCAGAACTAGGGGTGTAACAAAGTTTACTGATGCCGGTAAACTGGAAAATATTGTCACTTTTGAAATTGTTCTTGGTATAGCGACAAGCTAAATAGATGCAAAGAAATATGTTGGAAAATAGTAATAATGACCTACGAATAAATTGTTATAACATTTTTTACTAAATTGTAATTTTATTCCCTCTATAAGTATCATTGAACATTTTCAATAACGTTTTTAGATTCAATTTTCTGGTTACGTATCATTACTACATACTATATCTTACCTTTACACTCCATCACCCAAATAGGGCATTTTGTGTTAAAAGTAAAAAAAAATATACTTCATAATATGTATTTTCGTACTTTTTCTTCCGATTTTGTTTTTGCCTGGTGTTCGTACTGTTGGTACCTTTTTTTAGATAAGTTAAGATATATTTTTATATACATAAATAATTTTTGCAATTTACCTGGAGATGCGAACTAAAAAAATGTTGACAGAAGCCGCGAAAGGCTTAACGAATAATGCAATTACACATAAAAAAATTGTGTACATAGCATTTGTACTGGTAAGTGTGATCCCGTAAAAAGGGTTAATTCAACACGTGAGAATGGGATGGCTCGAGCCTACTGCAGCACTGAAGAAGAAGATATAAGCTCGAAACATAGTAATCACTCATAGGCCGTAATAAGTGTTTTCCATATGTAAAATATATATTCGAAAAATATATCGATATTCGATATAATTTCTTGTTGGAAATCTGACTAGCTAAAGATACCAAACAGCAATTGTTAAACAAATGTATTTTTCCCAAGATTAATGAAAAAACCTTTCATAGTAATGAAAATATCAAAAAATTGGCCAAGTGCGTGTCGAGCCACGTACATTGTAGATGAAGAGTTCCGTAGTTGCCAATCACAATACGTGAACATAAAAGGGCTTTTCTTAATAATGAGCATATTAAGGGAGATCGCGGTTTGACCGCTAAATGGGCCCAAATAGGAAGATGGTACCTGAAAGACTTTTTTCAATAAAACTATAGGGTGGTATTCAAAAGAAATAAAAATCTTTTTGTTTTTGAAAATAATACAATCTACATCAAATCATTCACATACCAAGTCCGTACAAAGGTCATAGTTAATATGTATCTCAGTAAATATTCGCGGCAGTACAACTGTACGGTGCAACACCGTGCATTCTCCCGCGTCAACATTTTAGTAATTTGACACTATGCGCGACTGACCTCATTCATTAATATTTTATTTTGGAGTGTATTTGTGTTTGCCTACCAATACGGTCGCGTGCCTCAATCTTATATTTTTACCAAGTTTCGTGTATTGTGAAATCGCAATAAATCATTGTTTTTCTCAAGATCGTGTTTAAATCATTCATCATCAGATCAAGTAAAAGGTGTGTGGTATACCAAGACCAAACATCTTTATGGTCCTTCGAGGAAACTGATCAGTGTTTTGTGGATCTCAAGTGCAGTGCGATCGGTTCGGTTGGCCTCCTACCCTCTCACCAGCCGAATTGAGACGGCGCTCTACGTGTACTGAGTCTGCAAATATACTGAGAACCAGTAATAACACCAAGCACAAAACCGAGAATATCAAGAATACCACAAGCATAGCAAATTTGACGCATTCATCAAGCAAACCAAGCAAGCATTCACCAAGCAAACCAAGAAAGCATTCACCAAGCAAACCAAGCAAGCATACACCAAGCAAACCAAGCAAGCATTCACCAAGCAAACCAAGCAAGCATTCACCAAGCAAACCAAGCAAGCATTCACCAAGCAAACCAAGCAAGCATTCACCAAGCACACCAAGGCAACACTCTCCAAGCACACCAAGCATAAGCATTCATCAAGCACATCAAGCAGAAGGATTTCACAAGCAAAGCACAAGCATATCAAGCAAGCGTATCAAGGTATTTTCAAAAACAAGCAAAACAAGTAAGTGATTTTTTACCAAGGTTTTAACGTATCAACTCCTTCACCAAATAATGTCAAGCATGGAAAATCTCCTAGCAAATCAACAACAAATTATCGATGGCATTAATCAAATATTTGTAAATTTTAAGAAAGATAGTCAAGAGCGAAAGACGCCCGACTGTATTAATCGAAGATTTAATAATTTAGAAGGGTATTGGCAGGAATTTCTGAATAATCATGTTGAACTGTGCGCTTTTCCAGACAAGTCCCATGCTTATTTTACTAACAATACGTATGAAAAAACCAAGGCAAATTATGAGAATATAACAGCTACAATAAAAGCGTACTTACCGAAGTCGGAACATCAACCAAAACCTTCAACGCCCTTGATAAAACCCACAGCTCCAATGGGTGCACCCTCAACTTCGGGAGCTCAACATTCATTTAGAACGGAGTCCCAGGGAACCAACAGCAAGACAGATGAATTATTCAAGAAGCAATCAAGCAACTTCAGAGCATTTAAAAGGACAGTTTCTAACATAAATCTTGACGATGTGACGGAGAAATGGGAGCTGGAAGATCTCCTCCGCTCTTTGCAGTTGCGATGGTCAGCTATCGACAGTCTGCACTGGGACATCGACAGTGAAGTTCAAGGAGCCAACCAAGAATATCATCATCATCATCATCATCACAGCCCTTCACAAGTCCACTGCTGAACATAGGCCTCCCCCAAGTAATGCCACAAAGCACGGTCCTGAGCCACCTGCATCCATCGACTTCCTGCATATCTTACCAGGTCGTCACTCCATCTAGTGGGGGGTCGCCCTACACTACGCCTACCGGTACGAGGCTGCCACTCGAGAACCTTTCTTCCCCATCGGTTATCGGTTCTTCGAGCTATATGGCCGGCCCATTGCCACTTCAGCTTACTAATCCGTTGGGCTATGTCGGTCAATCTGGTTTTACTGCGGATATCCTCATTTCTGAGTCTATCACGCAGAGAAACTCCGAGCATAGCCCTCTCCATAGCTCGCTGAGCGACCTTGAGCGTCCTCATACGGCCAGCAGTGAAGGACCACGTCTCTGATCCGTAAGTCATCACTGGCAACACGCACTGGTTGTACACTTTAGTTTTCAGAGATTGAGGTATACCTGACGAGAAGATATGTCGTAATTTCCCGAACGCTGCCCAGCCGAGTTGAATCCGTCGATTGACCTCTCGGTCGAAGTTGGACTTACCTAATCGGAATATTTGTCCCAGGTAAACGTACTCGTCAACAACTTCGAGCACAGTGCTTCCAACAACTACCGGCATAGGTGTGACATGGACATTAAACATAATCTTTGTTTTGTCCATGTTCATCTTAAGACCTATCCGTTGGGAGGCACTATTGAGGTCATTGAGCATAGTGCTTAAGTCCTCCAGCGATTCTGCCATAAGGACTATATCGTCGGCAAATCGAAGGTGAGTGATGTACTCGCCATTGATGTTAATACCGTATCCTTTCCAGTCCAGTAGCTTGAAAACGTCTTCCAAAGCAGCGGTGAAGAGTTTCGGGGATATAACGTCACCCTGTCTTACACCTCTCTGCAGTTGGATAGGTTTCGAGCTCTGGTTCTGTACTCGGATAGCCATCGTAGCCCTACTGTACAAACACTTCAGCACTTCGATATACCGACAGTCAACTTGGCACCGCTGAAGGGACTGCAGCACCGCCCAAATTTCGACGGAATCAAAGGCTTTCTCATAGTCCACATACGCCAGGCAAAGTGGCAAATTGTACTCTTCAGTTTTCTGTACAATCTGCCGCAGGGTATGTATGTGGTCTATGGTACTGAAGCCTTTTCGGAAACCGGCTTGTTCGGGAGGCTGGAAGTCGTCGAGTCTGCGTGCGAGACGATTCGTAATGACTCTCGAAAACAGCACGTAGACGCGGCTCAGAAGGGAAATCGGTCTGTAGTTCTTCAAGAGAGCGTTGTCGCCTTTCTTAAAGAACAAGACCACCGCACTTCTGCTCCAGGCCTCCGGAGTAGTGCCACCATGGAGGACGGAATTGAAGAGCTTCTGAAGGACTTCAAGTACCGGTGTTCCACCCGCTTTCAGAAGCTCCGCTGTAATTCCATCCTCGCCTGGGGCCCTGCCGTTTTTAAGGTGCTGGAGAGCCATTCTAATCTCGCTTAGACTGACGTCCGGGATATCATCGGAATAGTGTCGGATAAGACTTGCTCTTGGATCGTTACTCACACTTGCGTGTGGCTCCAACGATGATGTGTACAGCTGCCCATAGAACCTCTCAATCTCACTCAAAATCTCAGGTGTCCCGGAAACGATGCTGCCACACTCAGTCTTCAGCCTTGACAGTTGGCTCTTTCTGGCAGACAGATCTCTGGCAAAGACTTTGGAGCCCTGGTTCCGCTCGATCGCTTCTTTAATACGAGCAGTATTAAAGTTGCGTAAGTCTCGCCGTATGCATTTGGAAATC